AAATTTTCATGAAAACGAATTGAATTTAAACACCATGGGCGTGCCAACGATTTTTACTCGTTTATCATCTAGAAGATAAAATATCATCTATCATCATCTTAAGAAAAATATGAAATTAAATGAACATTATCACGAGATTTAATCATTACCCCTGACGATGCATCATCATCATCATGTATTAGAACTTTGGAAAACAAAAATCGAGATTCGAAATCACGTCAATCAATTGATTCCTATTATTTTTCTTCAATTGGAATTAATAATTTGAAAATGATTATGTAATTATCTCTCTCTTGATCCGATTATGGTCATTTCTTAATTAACAGTATCAATTGTTACTGAGAAAGTCAAACAAACAAATAGACAACAATTAAGGTTAACAATTGACAACAATTTAGTGAAAACTTTTTTTTCACATCAACCTCCACAATTTAACAATCAATTTAAATGAGATCAAATCAACTACACACCTTAAATCATGACAATTCAATCGTTTGATTAGATATTCATTTTAATTGCTATGATATTATATATATTACTAATTGTCAATTGATTATCATTCATCTATAGGAAAGAGATGAAAAATTAATTAGCAACAATTTAATATCACTAATGGTTAATTGTTAAATCGCTTAATAGATAATTTAGAAAACCTGGTAAGTTAATTAAAGTTGGAAAATTAAAGATCATGAATTGTATTAAAAGTTAAATTCAATTCTATTTGTTAATTGTTTGCTACTGTTGCCATTTTAAACACACAATTAACTGTGAATGTTTGGAAATTATCTGGAAATTAAATTATATCTTAATCAGTAAATCAACAATCAAGGAATTGGAATTAGAAAAAAAAATTAAATCCAAGAACTTAATCAACACGAAAAATCGTGAAATTTGTTTTCCTCTCGTTTTCCTTAAACAAACAATTTAATTCGTAACAATTTACTAAACATGATTATGAGAATTGATTATTACAATTATATTAACAGTGTAAGTTTCCAACTGAAACAAATGATCAACTAAATCAGGTAGTTAGTTAGTTAACTGCCTCACCTTGATTATCAGTTAATTCAAGAAGCTAAAAACAATCAACTAACTATTAATAATAATCAACAAGAAAAAAAAAGTTAAGATGATCAAGTTAAATCAAATTTAATCCAATTGCCAATCCCAATTCATATAGTTGATTAATTCAAACCGAACCCGATAAAATGTCTAACTAATTGTTAATCACTAATTATAACATGTTTTTTTAATCAACTAGTTAATCAGCAAATCAACTAACTGTATGTGGGTATGAATTATTTTTCATTTCAATGATTATAATCAAGTAATCATCCTAAATGAATTGATTGTGGTGATTTAATTTTTGATTATGATGAGTGAAAATCAATTTACTAGTTAATTTAAAACTATTAATTGAGTATCTTTATTATTATTAAATTGTTGTTGTTGAAATAAATGAATCAACTTTAATTTTAAATACTGTTAATCAAGATAAATCATTAACCGTTAATCATTAGCAACAATTAACATATCAACCTATAAATCAGTTGATTGTTTGATCAATTGTTAATTGTTTACCTATAAGAAAATGTTCATTTTAATCATGAGCCGATTTTCATTACAATTTATTGATTGTTAAGTCGTTGTTGAGATTTAACTGATTGTGTAAAATTTTTTTGAAAGGTAACAATTTAAATCTAGCAAATCTACAATTTGATCAACTTCAACTGGCTACTGTTGAACAATTTGAATCACAATTAAACCTTATTGTTAACTAAATCAAATTTATCACGATTTTTAATCATGATCACATAAAGTTTACCAACACAATCAGTTAATACAGTTAATCAAACGTTAATCTTGACTATTTAATGATGATTATCATGTAATATTGACCCTGTTAATATACTTTACATGATTATAATTGTTAATCCAGTATATAAAAAAAAACAACAACAATCAACAAAAAAGTAACAGTTAATTGTTTACATGGTTAACAATTGTTTCCTTGCTCATTTGAACCTTATCATTACGATGTACTGATTATTATTATCGTTAATAATTGTTATCATAATATCACAACAATTACAGTGAGTGGCTACTGCTACTTGATTGTTACAGTATAATAGTAATTTAAAAATGGTGAAACAATCAAATAGGGATAATCAATGGTGATTATCAGATACTATTGTTTAGATTAATACTTTTATCATAATATCATCACGAGTAAATCACGATCAAAATGTTAGCACCCGAAAAAGTTTTTTCTCATTTCTCATCTACTTCGTGCTTAAATCGCCCCTTAAATACAATGTTATCATCTTCATCATCATCATTATCTTCATCTTAATCATTAACTTTTTGGATAATCAATTTAAAGTTTTAAGAAGATGAAGAAAAATAATGAAAAAGTTTGGCAACTTTTTGTAACTTTCGCTATGGAAACTCAGGTAAAAATCGTTGGTACTTTTTGTTTTCATCTCTAATCAAAAATGATTGGTAACCCTTTTCACCTTGTTACAGTTTCCTTTAATCAAATTTGGCCCTCAGGTCATTTTCAGGTACAATTTAGTGTGTAAATTGTAACCCTTTAGGGGCTAAAGAGACTTTATTTTTTTGCATTCACTTTGATTGTGAGTGTTAATATTGATTGTTATTGCTAACGGCAAGGTTAACCATTTCATGTCTGTGTGAGTGTGTGAGTGTTTGTTAATTGTTGCTTTAATTAACATCATCAGGACAACTATTAGATTTGATCACTCTCATATCATCAGACATAATTAACACAGGTAATGAAGAAAAAAAAACAAAAATTATTGATGATTATAAGCATTTCTTATGTATTATAAGATATAAATTAATTGTAAAATACAAGTAATTAGTAAGTTAATTAGTTATTATCAGATAATTTAAATCATTTCAATCAATGTTTAATAATTTTAACTGTCATCAATTAATTGATTGTAATGATTTACTGGCCAGTTGATTTACTATTTGTAACGATTTTTGTTTTCTTTCAAAAAGTTTTGGTCAAGTTTTCAAATGATAATCAAGTTAATTGTTGGCTAATCATTAACTATTAATGAGGGTGTGGTTGACCTTCTCTCTCTCTCTCTCTCTCACTCTCTCATTCAACTTTTCATCCCTCTTAATCCCATGTAGTAATACTAATCTCCAACTGAGTCTGTTGATAGTTACCTTCAAAACAGATAAATCATCAAATCTAAACTCCTATTGTTTTGTGTTTTTCAAAGTCAATTTATTTGCGAAAAAAAATAAATTGTTTGTTTGTAAAGACTTAATTGTTGCAATTAAAAATATCAAATAAATGAACCTTCATCTAATCATACGTAACATATGGTGAATTAACAATGATACAGTTTTAATTGTTGAGGATAACGAACATAAAATTAACCAAGAGAATTGAGTTTTCATGTTAAAATCAAATCAAATCATTTCCAATCTTCAGCCTACACAACTTGAAAGGCGTTTTAATCTCCATCTTCATCATTTACCTGTTGTAATCTCGTCTTCCTATTATCTTCATCTCTCTCTCTCTCTTACTCACTCACTCACTCACTCTCTCCAAAGTAACATTACCTTAAGGTGCCAATGGTAATGTAATATAAAAGGTGTACAGGTAATTCACAAGAAAGATCATAAGTTGATGATAGAAAGAAAAAGAAACCACCTTATCTTCATCATCTCTCGTTTATCTTACCTTGAAACACCCTTTTCATAAGAAAATTAGATGATAATGATTATCATCATCATCCTGAAGAAGATGATGATGATAATCAAGCTTCCATAAGACTATCAATGATTTTCTAAAACTTTTTCTATGAAATTTGATCCATTGAACAATCAAGGTAAACATTATTGTTATTACACATTAATTGTTGTTGGTTTTTCATGTTTGTTTTTTTTTATGATTACCTGTTCCTACCTTGTGGGTGGTTAGTTGTAACATCATCATCATTGTTAATCATTATGATGATGATGATGATGATACTAATGATGGATAATATAATAAACTGTTGCTGTTATTTACCAATTCAAATAAAATTGACAATAAAAACGTAACCATAAAAAAAGTAACATCAAGTTACACCTTTTTTTTAGGTGAAAAAAATTGTATCAATGATGAGGAAAAATTCTGATAGTTTTTTTTATATCTTCCAATCATTGTTTTCTTTATCTTCTTTATCATCATTAGATTATCTTTCTTTTAACTCATCTTTTTCTCTCTCAATGTAATCGTTCACAGCGGTTGGTGGTGAAACTTTGATAATCATTTTTGATAGTCTAGAGAGAGAGAGAGGTAACAATTTTCGGGAAGGTGGATGATGATGAAGATGAGGATGGAGATTAAGATTATGATGATGGCTTTTTCTTATTGCACAGCATGTGACATAATTTTTCAACATTCTTATGGGGATCTGATGAAAGGAGCTCAGAGGGTGGAGGTGGGGAGAGAGGGAGGTAGATGAGATATGAAGATGAAAGGAGAGAAAGTTTCAGAGAGAGAGAGAGAGAGAGAGAGAGAATTGAGAGATGAGGATGATGATTAACATGATGATAATATTGAGCAACAAGTGATGAACCAGTTTGATATCATCATCAGTTGATGATTACCTTATATAGTAAACGATTGACAGATTATCTTAATCTATTATTGTTCACACTGTTGTTAATTGTTGTTGTTGTTTTTATCTTGGATTAAAATCTAATCTTTTAATTCACAGCGAAATTTTGTTCTTTTTTTTTCAAAGAATTAAATGAACATCATAATCATAACTCAATCAGAATCAATTTTAATCTAACACCATCATCTTAATCTTTAGTCTTAAACAACACTCGTAGGAAGATGATGATTTAATCATAATCAACTGATTCATATTAATCATTAGCTTGGAACTTTTTATCTCAAGAATTCATTCAAGTTTATCAGGTAAATTGAAGTAAAATATTATAAAAATTTCGTAATGGACACTTACCTGTATGGAGGAAAAGGTGATTCTTAAGGTTGGTCTGTTTACTGAATCCTCGATTACAAATTGAACATTTAAATGGCCAATGTCCATTGTGAATATAAGCGTGAGCTTTGAGATCACCGGGAGTGGGAAATGATTTACCGCACATTGAACATTTATGAGGTTTATCCTGTTCGTTGATTCAGTGAGATTGACAGAGTAAAGATTAGAATTGTGAATAACGGAAGAAAAAATTTCTCTTCCAAATGGTCAAGTGAATGATAATCTTACCTTACTATGGGTCATCCGATGATAATAAAGGTTTGAACTTGCGGTAAAACGTTTACCACAAATTGGACATTGATGAGGTTTCTCACCTGAATGGATTCGTCTATGGGTGTTGAGAGAGGACGAAGTACTGAAACCTTTACCGCAGACATCACACACATGAGGCTTTTCACCTGTAAATATTAGTGAGAGAGAGAGAGAGAAATGACCAATGGTCAAGGGTGAGAAAAATAGTTTCCCTTTACTATTGATTATTCTGTGATTTATTTACCTGTATGAGTCCGAAGGTGACGACGTAACAATGATGGCCGATCAAATGATTTACCACAATATTCACAGGGTAACATTGCTCTTTCCCTTGGTTTTCTGAGTAAATTGTTTGTATTATTGTTGTTAATTGTTGAATTAAAATTAGAAATTGAATTTCTCCGTTGAATATTGTTATAATTATTAGTTTGATCTTTGATCAAATTGTTGGTGGCAGTGTTGGTGTGTGTTGATTTAATTACATTTGTAATGGTCATTGGTGTTGATGAGGTTGATTGAAGTGAATGATTTGAATCACCTGATTCATTATGTTGAGATAATTGTTGAATATCATCATTATAATCAATTGTCTCATCAACAGCCATCTCATCAGTATCATCATCATCATAATCTTTAACATTATTAACCTTATTGTAATGATCAATTTGATTATTGTTGTTAACGTCCTTTGATTTAACTATATTGATATTAATCACTTTCTTTGAAGTTGTCAATGCAATTGGTGAAATTGATTGTGGTTGATGATTACGATTGTGTTGATTATGATGATTAGATGATGGTGATACTGAAGTTGGTGAATAAGATGATGATGAAGATGAAGATGAAGATGAGGTTGTCTTAGATAAATCCAAAGTTAAACAAGTCCAATCGGTTGGTTGACCGTTAACACGTAAACATTGACCAGTATGAGGATCAATGGTAAATGATGATGGAGACGATGATAAGTATGAAGATGAAGAAGATGATGAAGATAGTAATGATAATGAAGGTGAAGAAGATGATGATTTAACAAAAGGCATGGACAAGTCCAATGGTCCAGTTTCAATTTCATGTAACATGGTGATCGATGGTGATAATGAACTGATTTTATAACGATCGTTACGATGATGATAATAAGGAACCGATGAGATGAAATTTGTTGATTGATGAGGATAAAGTTGAAACATTAGCACTTAAACACCAACGAGTAAACGAAATACAAACAGTTTGTAATGTGTAACAATTAACTTTTCATAGAAAATGATCAAAAATCGAATCAAAATTACGAACTAATTGCAATTAGTTAAAGAAAAGTTTTCTCTTGTTTCTAATACGTTCCAACGAACGTTATCTTCACAACTAACCAAGTCTGACGGGTTTTCGGTTGGCACATCAGCTCTTGGAAAAGTAGCCTCCGATTTAAGGCGGGATTTGACCTGCCTTTTTCTCTTTCTTTTCATCTCTCTCTTATCATCTTATCTTCTTCTTGTCATCCTCTTTATTTTCATTTCTTTTTTCTCTTCTCTCTCTCTTCTCTCTCTTTCTCTTCGCCATCTTCGTTGAGTTTTTATCGAACTAATCGACACGATCAAGTTTCAGAGAAATTAATTGCTGGACAAACTTAATTGTAGTAATAATGCTAATTAGTTTTCCCAGAAAAATATCGTCAATGTTTTTGTTAATTGTTACGATTAAACATAATCATTAATTTCCAAATTGATCCATTGATACTTTGATATTTTCCATTCAGGGAAAAAAAGTTTTCGCCTTTAAATTTCCCAAACGTTTTCCAAACAAATTAACAATCTAATAGTAATTGTTTCCAACTCGTTATTAGATAATTAACATTATTAGTTTAATTATGCAATTAAAATAAATCTTGTTGGTTTAGTAATAATTATTAATTGTTTACTTGATTACGATTAACTTTCTGGTTGCTTTAAGCAATGAAAAAAAACCTACTGATCATTTTTTTTTTTGTGTTTCCATTGATTTTGATTCACAATTTAACTTAGTCATTTGATTAAATTGTTAATTAGTTAATTAGTTAGATAATTTTCCCAATACAATTGGAATTAATCATCAAATTTAACACTAATATTGTTGATCTGAATTAAGGTGTGTTATCAATATTATTTATATAAATTAATTCAGCAAATGATTAAATTAAAACCACGCAAAAAAATTGGTTATTAAATTTTCCCAACAATTATGGTTAACAATCAACGATATTAATTGTAACAAAAACAAAATCATCATCAACAATCAATTTCATATTTAAAAATAAATGATTCTAATCAACTTGATCAACCAACTAAATTGTAAACTCGTTCAAATTGAATTAATTACAATTACCTGTTAGTGTAAATATTGATCTGTAAATACAATTAATATGATTGGATTAATATTGATTGTCTTTGATTAATTTAACAACAACTATTACAAACAGTTACCATTAATAATAATTATCAGTAGCAGTTAATAAAATTTTTTTTTAAATCATTTATTGTTAGTTAATTGTTGATGTTGTTCAAAAGTTAATCACGGTAAACATATAAACAATTCATTCATCATCATCATCGTAACAATAATAATACCTTGATTCATAATCATAACCATTATCAACATCATCTATCTAATCAAGTTGATTACGAATGAGAATTAAAGTTGATCCAGTTAATCAAACAATCTGATTAACAATTTACCAAGTTAATAGTTGATCACGTTTACTTTATGTATCACCCTTTACTTTTAAATTAGTCGTGGTTAACCCTCAATCTCCCTCTCATCCTAATCAATGATGATGATGATGATGATAAACTGAATTTAGTAATTAGTGGTTAAACTAAATCATCATTAACTGTTGAAAAAAAAAAGTTAACCAATAGTAAATTAACAAACAAGGCATAACCTTTAACTAAATTTACGTTGATTGTTGATTGTATTATTATCTGAAAGCATCATTAAGTGATAGATTAACTTAAAATGATAGATAAGTCACAATTGTGAATGATTTAAGGCTTAACTAAATTGATGATTAAAGTTGATGATTTAAGGATTGATGATAATGATAATGTATCATCAATTGATTAACCACAATTCAATTTGAAAATGAAATATGATTAGTACTAAATCGTGAATAATATTTTTCCTTATTACCTTTTATTTTATTTTCATTTTCAGTTCTCAATTTAACAAATTAACTGTAACTCTATTATAATCATCATGATAATCATCATGATCAAGATCCATTTACTATTAAGATTATAATCAGAATCAATTGTAATACTGTTCATATTTATTATCCAACAACAATTAACAATAAAGTTTAGTGAAATTAAATGATTACCAGAAGGCAAATGTTACTTTTATCATTCTAATAGTATTTGATTCACAAGCTAATACATCACATAGAGTGATGGTGATCAATAAAATCATCTGTACATGATGATGATGATGATGATTATCATCATGTTGATCATCTTCTTCAATAGAAAACCTAGAAAAGGCCTCAAGGAGTTTCCGTGACTAGAACATAAAAGTCGTGAGAATGCGGTAAGTGAATAAATCGCCTTCCAGAAGCAAAAATCATTCTTTTTCATTCCTTTTCTCTTTCTTTTCATCATCATCATCATCATCATCTACTCTTCCATCTTCTTCATCATCATCACCAGTTCCTCACCTTAGGAAATTATCATTAGATTTGCTTCTGTCTTTAGACTTTCCTTCCTACATGGAAACTTTTCTCATCCCTTATGAGTTGATTCCCAATCTATCATTTTATGGGAATTAATCAGTGGCCCTTTAATCATATTGGTCTTAATTACACAGGAATTTGAACACAATTAACTTTAATTCCACGTCTCCATTTATACTTATATGTAATTTTACAATTATCATAAATCAATCCCTTATAATTTACAGATGATTGTCAATTTTAATTGGGCAAAATAATTATCATTATTATCAGATAACTGTAACAATTAGTGATATCATTGAACTTGAATGAAAATTTATATGTATTGTAATTTAGTAGTAAATTTTTAATTACTTAATTTAATATTCAACAATTGATATAAAAAAAAAAAACTATCAACAGATTTACCTTTAAGCCTTTGTGATATTGATATTATCAATTTACTTTTCTTACAATTAACTGATTTGTTGTATAATTAAAAGTTTGATTGTTGTCTTTGATTATTATTATTATTATTATTATTATCATTAACTATTATCATTGATACAGATATTGATTAGCTTTAATTTTAACATTTGATTGTAAATTGTTATCAAATTTGAAATAACCACTATCATCATAATGTTTTTGATTTGTTGATGATGATTAAAAGGTTTCAGGCAATTTAATTGTTGTTAATATTGTAAATACTTGTCAAATTTGATTGTAATAGTTTTCTGATGATCATAATGATAATAGTATTTAATTAAATGATGCTGATGATGATATGAAGTGTGCATAATTTGTTAATTAGCCTCAAGATGATCGTGAAGACAATCAAAAAATATATTATCTAATTAAAGTATAATTCAAATTGTTTTAACTGTCTGATTGCTAATAAACAATAAACAGGTAACAATTAACAATTAACAGTCTCTTTTACAGTTGTAATCAAATTAATCAGTTAACAAGCTCAACCAATAAAGTAAAATAAAAAAATAATAGTTACAATTTTAATTGTTAATCTAAATTGTGCTCACTGCATATTATTATTAATCCAGAACAATTTGATTTATTTTAATCAAGATAATAATCAATTGATTTGATTTGAGTTTGATTCTGATTCTGATTGAGCAAAAACAAAATCAATTGATTCCAATAATCACAATTAACTTTTTTCCAAATGAAAATAATTTCGTAACGACTAAAGTAACAATTTCGGTTCACAATTAACTTTGTGATCATCAATTTATTGTTTAGACAGTTAATTACCTCTAAAATTAGGCTAAAGTTGATCCAATTATAGATAATTGTAAGAAGATAATTTGAATAATCAACTGATGAGAATGAAAAATTTTAGAACAAAATTTAAAAGAAACTTTTTTGTTCAGAGCCACCTAGTGGATCGAATTTGAACTGAGCGTTCTTTTTGTTAAATTTTTTTTTCTCTTCTTTTGTTAAACTGTCAACAAAAGTTTCTTTCATTATTACAGGTATCATGATACTTGGAAGACGAAGGATGATAAGGATGATGATAGAAGGTATTTTTTTCTGTAAGTTTGATGATCTAACAAGAAACTATTGTTAATATAAATGAAGAAAAAAAAGTTCTAAGTGTAAACTTTGCGTGATGAATTTGTATCTTTTTTTTGGGAGAAAATGAAAAGAAAATGTAATTATCATCAATTTCTATCATCCTTCATCTTTACCTTTCTCTGTTTTTTTTTGGTGATCGAAACTTTTGACAATCAACTGATCATCTCAATGTCTCCGTTTATTATATCCATTGGTCTAAGTGGGAATGAAATTTATCGTGATTGATTAAGCTCAAAGAGATAACAATTTACTGATCAAATTGATGATGATAATGATGATGATGATGCTTTTATCATCTCTTGCCTTTGTGAAAACATCAACGAATCAAATGATCAACAGAAACTATTGATTCTCAATGAAGATCAGTAATCGACCGCCATTGAAGATTAATGATTAATCTGTTTTCTTTTTACTTCTTCTGATTTTCATTCATCTAATTGATCTAATACAATTTACTCATTCAATTGATTACCTTCATTATTAAAATTTTATGAGTTACTTTATTTGGAAAGAAAATTAAATTTAGCTAACAATTTAATGAACCGATTTAAGGGTAAATTTTTAATATATAAGTTGGTTGATTATAATGAGCATCAGATTTGATTTGATTTTGATTTTGTTTCATATTTTTTTTTATTTTCAGTTGATTATCATCAATAATAATCAGTTGATTTCATTTTTCTTATACTAATTCAAGTGAAATTGTTAAGAATCAAATCAATTGATTTAGAAAGCTTTTCTCTTAATTTTCTGATTCTTTTATTGTTGAATTTAATGTTTAATTGAGTTGAAATGAAATCAAACAATTAAGGCTGGGTCAATATCTATTGATTTGAATTGAACTTTTCAATCTCAATTTAATAGGTAAGATTATATTAGATTATCTGGAAAATTAAATGAAAAGTAATCAAAAACACTTCAATCATCATAAGGACAATTTACCTTTCGTCTTTTAATCATCATCATCATCATTATCATCATTATATATATCATATCATATCATGTTTGATGATGATGATGATAATCAACATCCCTTGTAAACTCGTTGTGATAATATTGTTTAATGATGTGATATGTTTATAGACCAGCATCATGATGATAAACAATTAAATCCA